CACACACACACACACACACACAGCGCTAACCTGACTGTGCTGCAGTGTAAAGATAATTAGCATTTTTATTGAAAACGTATGGTTTATTAAGGAGGTATTCGTCTAGGAGGAAAGACGGTGTGTGCTCATGAATGTGTGTAATGTGTGTGTGTATGCATGGGACGCATGCACATTCACGTGCGCGTTTCTGCAGACAACGAGTGGCGACAGCAGCCTTACCACTATTATCTCTGATCTCCAATCAGCTCAGCCAGCTAAAGCCCAAGGTCATTTATGGACACAGACGTTTTCTCCTTTCTTTCTCCGTTATATTCTTTCTCTCCCTTCCTCTCATCCTCACCTGCCATTCCGTTTCATTATTTCATCCTGCGCTTCCCCCCCTCCTGTTAATTCTCTCCCTTACCTCCTCTGTATCTCTACCACTCTCCCCAACCTAAACCCTGTCCACCTCTCACGCAGTGTCTTTTATCAGTTAATTCATTCTTTCTGTTCCTCGTCTGCTGGCCTCGTCTAACCTATTTCTCTCTATCTCTGTTTCAGCTGTCGCTCTGCCGTCTCTCCTTCTGTCTCTTTGGTCATTTTCCCATCTTCCCTTGCTCTCTCTGGGAAACACAAAAATGCCTGCATATGTGCCCACACAAACACACACACACATATACTGTACATGCAAGTACACACACACACACACACACACACACACACACACATAGGAGTAAGGAATCCTAATGGCGAGCGATTTGTTTCTGCGATACACACACTTGCGCACTTCTCATGTCATCGTGATGAAGTTATTCCAAGGGTCCAATCTGACAGAAGTCTTTAATTGGACAGAGAAGAAGGTGATTTTATCTTTTAATTAGCTTTCCTACTGAGCCAAGTTCTATTGTCTAAAATAGACTGCATGGGTATTGCATAACATATCACTTGCTTTTCTGATTAATACACTAAATGTGGTAGTAGGCTAATTGCTTCATAACAGCAGTCAAGAGAGCCAGGGTATACTGCATGAAGATGAGGAAACGGATAGTCATAATCCCAAGTGTTCCTGCCTGGTTTTAATGATGAACATGAATGAAACAATACATATCATGTATCGGTTTCTGCAGCATATTGCGTATTTGTTGAGATTAAATCCATCCCGGTGTAAGAGTTGCTTCGGAGAAGCGCTTTGTACAGCAGTGAGCTAATGTATGGATATTTATAGAGCGCCTGCAGTGCTATGAGCACGTATACACAGGTGGCTAATTACTGCCAAAGCTAGCTGGCTAGTTTGGCACACGACCGCCACACACTCGTACCATAGAGAGCCAGAGAGAGAAAGAGGCAGCACTTGATTGTAGCTTTGGAAAACAGCCAAAAACCTGCAGTGCAGTGAGGAGAGATGAGGAGTTGTGAAGGTAGTGCAAGCCAAAAAAAAAAAAAAAAGGAGGGGTGATGGAGGAGCAAAATTTCCCTGAAAACTGAACCGTACATAATTTAATTACCTGTTTTACAACCCACTTTGAGAATTGTTTACAATATCTATGTGGTGGGGAAACATAGCAATTCTACTTAAAGCACTCAGGAAAAAAAAGTGAGCAGTATAAAGTTGTGTCCCATTGGAACTCAGCTCATTTTCTTTCCACGCACTCAGTTTTTGATGAGCAACACCTGGCCTCAGAGGTGATTGCTGGGGGTCAGGTGTTTACACTCAGCAAACAGTGCGCTTAATGTCGAGGGAGACCTACTTGAGTTATGGATGTCCCTCGATGTTACCGTCATTTGAGCGCGCTTACAACCAACACTGCCTTCAAATGCAAATATAATGATTTATTAAAGTTGCAGCTCGTATGCATTTTAGAAACGCGACAGTTTGAGCACACTGTCATATATTTCAGAAAACAAGCCTCCTTTATTGATTCATCTTGATTTACGGCAACATCTTTGAAATATTTCACCACTTAATGTCTTACAAAATGTATCTTTCACAACAATGCCGCTGACAGCATTGATTTGCTGTGTCAAGCGCGCCAGTGTGATCGTTGACGGCTGAATCTGCAGCCTGAATGTCAGCGAGCAGGAGTACCTTGCTCTACAGTTCAGACATTATTACGCCTTTCAAAGAAAATTGATTTCATAAATATTTGAGGAATGCAATATGAGGCCTCTGTGAAGGGTCGTGCCATGTAAAGCTTCAGGTATTCTCAGACAAAACAACGTGAAGTGTGGAGTCACGGTTTCCAAGGACTTATTTCACCTTTATAAATTTTCTAACATTTTTCTCAGCGAGGTTGTGAAACATTTCGCGTTGCTAAACACACCCACAGGAGCCAGCCGGTGGATTACATGTAGCGCTACCTGATCTAGCACCAACACTTTAAGTCGGTACACCAAAAAATGCTAATGTGCTGTCTTTCTCTCTTGTTTTCTGCTCAAGACTCCCTCTTCTTCACTGTCTTTTCCTCCAATGCTTCATATCCCTCACTACGTCCCTCCCTCCGTTAGCTGAGCTCTCTAATGACTTTGGTTTCAGATGCTGTCTATTTTTGCGGGAAGAAATGTTACCCCGACTGACCCATTGTTTATCAGATCAGCATGCTACTCCTCTCCCTTTGCACTCAGTTGTTCGTAAGCCGCTGTTCTTTACAGTGACAAATCTATGAAATAAGTAGTGCCGTATTTTCAGGCAGGCATAGAGTTATAGCAAAGATAAAGACTGAGCATACAGGCAAGTTTTGAATGAATGAGACGAGTGAAAACATACACTGGTACGCGCCCTTTTTTTTTTTTTTTTGGAAGCCTGCAAGTGTGTGCAGTGTGGGTGAGTGTGTGCGTGCTTGGTGGGGCATTAAGCAGGTATCAGGTTGTGTTTCCATCTGCTCCAGAGAGGGCTCTGATAGTCCTATTATTTAATCTGCTGGTCATTCTAGACGCCAGGAAAGAGCCGTTTAGCCAGACATAATTGAATGCTTCAGTGTGGGAGATCACCTTGGCCGTCTGTGTGAACCGTGGTGCCAAGGCTGTAGACAATGTTAGACAAAAGACTCAAAAGGGCCTGTGATTTCTGCAAGAGTTGAGGAAAAAAAGTAAAAGTTCACGGTATTTACATCTGGTCTGTCAACTTTGTGATTCATTATGAAAGGAAGGTCGATGAAAGGTTTGAATACTCTGATTTACCTAATACACAAAAAGCAAATGAGTATAATTTCAGTTGAAATGTTTTCAAAACAAGTGAGGCTTACGCTGATTTTTAAGCTATTTTTGTTTTTAAGTTAAATTGAGACATGACTAAATGGGATTTTGGCATAAATATGCAGAAATTAATCATCCATTTCCAACTTTGTATGTTTTCCTGTCTTTTATGACTATAACTGTTCCACCACAACGTTTATAGCAATAAAAACACGTCAACATTTTCCACATTACTTCTTCAACATAGATTTTACAAAAAAGGTCAAGTATCAAGATTCTATCGTATACAGAAAAAAACCCACATTTTTGAGAAAAAGTTATTGAGAAAGTCATATCCTTTCACGGTGTATCTTCTACTCAGTTCAGAATCTGCACTTATTGACAAATGTGTCCTTCCTCAGTACAATTGAAGTGCACTGTAATTTTGGCACATAGCCTTTTTTATTTTATTTTTTTTAACCAACAATTGAGATTTCACCTGCTTATCTGTTTTTTGGTAAGGTTTTCCACATTGACATGTGTCAAACATCAAATACAACTGCCAGTTGAGCAAAAATAAATTTTAATGCCAGTCGTGATAGAAAAGTTACTAGCTAGAGTTGGCACTGGGGAAATCACATGAGATTTTGCTTTTTCATACATCAGACACAGAAGCTGCATTTTACCTTTGCCTTTGGACAAACCCTCTAAGCTGGAATGTAGTGTAAAATAAACATCAAGGACAAAAAGATGTCTTTAATCCGTTAAGTCTCCGCGCAGATCCCTTATGCATTTATTATGCAGTGAGCGGTAACCTAGATTTTGGGGGGAAACTATGCTTACAAAAAAAAAAAAAAAAAACTGCACAGTTGTTTTTGTATTTTGTTAACATATCCCATGAACGTTTCACTCCAGTGAATATGACCTCCCAGTCTGTTACCACCTGGTCAAAGGTCATATCACCATCTGTCATCGGTTGAGATCCTCATCCTTCCTCCTTGTGAGTTTCCCAGGGAGTGATATCATTAGAACTTCCCATATAAACTTGCTCTGGCATCCAAGTACTCATGTTCATGTTAGTTTTAAAGAGCATGTTGCTGCTGATAAGACAGTATAAAAAAAACTGTCCAAGATCTTAAAATGGGATTATTTTAAAGACTGTGTGTGTATCTTGGATGCATTTCATTCACATGCGCCATATGAGGATGGATTCAGTGACTGACAACTGGTGGGAGTTACTTTAAAGACAGATAAGATCAAAAAAAGTTGAACTACTGAAAAAGAAGAGTACTTACTGTAGGGGACACATTCATACTGGACTTCCAGGTATTTGTACGTGCCAGGGCAGGGATCAGGGAAGACGTCTGGACCAGCCACCACTGCACACTGAGTACGGTTGTTGCATCTAAAATGAGAAGATGTTCGAAGAGGCAGATATGTTAGCTGAACACATCCAGATGCACAGGTACGTTAAATAGATGTAACTCAAACTAATTCACTCTAATGCAACAGTCCTGCAATAAATCCTGCTTTTATTGAGATTATAATATTTGGTTCATGTTTGGCTTGAACTGCGTCGCACTATAGAGAACGGTGTTTCTTTTATTGGCTTGATATAAATGAGGTGAACAAGTCAATCGAAACACCTGGAAGCATAACACGGCACAATTCAAACCGCCACAACCTGCATCATTCCAAAATGATCGTGCAGCTGAATCTGTGTCTCTCTAAAACAATTTTAACTAAAGCCGAACTTCAAAGCCTTCGCGAAGGCAGGATTTATTGCAGGGCCATTGTGTGAGACTGCATTAGTTTTTTACTAGGGCCAAAGCACTCTATAACACAATACACACATCCTGACATTATGTGATGTAATGTACAGTGAGATGTATTATATCCACTGATGCAATTCACCTCATTCACCCTGACACTCAAGAGTCATCTGTGTTTAAGGACCCTTTATGCTGACAATAGAGCAGACAAAGCGCCCTTACTAGTATACCTGGAGTGAACGTTACAGTAATGGAATCACTGAGTTCACTCGTACACAAGGTGTTCCACAGTGGATGGTGAATAGCTGTGGCACAAGGACACTTCTGAGGTGTGTGCCTGTGTGCATGTGCGAGTGTGCACGTGTGCAGCGGCGAGAACAATAACCTATGTCTTTAAGAGCATTTCGCCCCAGACTACAGATAATTAATTCTAATTGTCAGGGGGACCCTCTCCTCTGACACACAAAAAGTAAGTATTTCTCACTCTTATTAACACAGGTTACATAAGGCGGCACACCGTGTATATTCACTACGCGCCTGTGAGAGTTTATGTTTACATGCTTGTAGGTGTCGGGCTGTAAAAAAAAAAGGCACGCATGACATTTATGTGTAAGTGTAATTAAACATGCCAGGGCCACTCCTCGCTACCAAAGATGATTTGTTAGGGGACGACTGGAGGCCATAAATTATCACGATAGATATACGTAATAACATAAAAATGCTACCCCACTCTGAAGTGGCACTTTATCTCAATGGCACTTCCTGGTTTAAATAAATTATTGAAATAGCGTGAATGAAGAATACATTATGTACAAGAATAGGGACAAAGGACACACGAGAAGAAAAAAAAGGCTATTTTAAGGAGGCTGATGAGCAGTCTCTCTTCTCCTCTGAATATTTCCTTTCAATTAGTAGAACTGCTCTGTCTTTCCCTCTCTGCACACCTGTCAAACAGACGACATTTACATTAAAAACATTCAGATTCTCCCATTGAGATATTTTTAATGAGCATGATAAACCCCTCAAGTCTCTTTTCTTACAGTATCATTCAACAATTTGCATAATGAAATATGCATGAGAGCTAATTTAATTTTTAGTTCAATATTCACATTGAAAAAAAACAAAAAAAAACAGAGTAACTAATGTCGGCTACAGAGAACCACTTAACTGTGACATTTATTGGTGTCTATGGCTGACCAGTGTGACCGTGGTCAAGTGACGGGGTTATTGGGGTTTAAAAGGTTCAAAACTCTATGTGTCGCAATGTCTGTCATATTCTAATAACAATACCCACCCATCCTCTCGCCCTCCCTTCGTTTTTCTCGCCTCTGTGCTTTTTAATTTCTTGCCCCGGTGCCTTCATCATCGGTCACCTGTCATGAGTGCAAGTTGTGGACTTGGGGGGGGTACACAAAACTGACATGGCGCCACAACTTTGCTCACAACACCCATCGATGGATACAACTGGCCAGTCCACAGTGGTGAATCAGAGTGCGAAAAAAAAAACATGTCATGACCTTCCATGTTCCCTAGCTTAAAACCCACCCACCGGTTATGATGTCATCACGCTGGGTGATTAGAGCTCGCAGTTTCGCTCAAAACTGTGTGCTCAAAAGTGCTGCCACAGGTGCAGGGGTAGGATTAATTATTTCCACACGCAGACTTTCCGGAGGAGAAGAAGAACACCAGGCAGCACAGAGAAACCCAGGGGCTTTATAAAAAAATAACGCCGAAGGAAGAAGAAGAAGCAAAAAAGATCCAAGTGAACTGGGCAGTGCAAGCATGCTGGTATCAAAAAGTCAGCGTACAAGCAGGGCAAAATGCATAAATGAGAGAAATACAGTATGTTAAGAAAAAAGAACCGATGCAGGGAGCAGGCAGGTTAGAAGAAATAAAGGTGTAAATGGGTTCAAGAGAGCCAAAAGGGAGAAAATTTAGGTTTTGCACCAGCTGTGGGTATGTGTATTTGCGTGTTTATTTTTGCTTTACGATACTGAAAAACAACTCCGGCTCAGAACTTTCATGGCTGAGTCATAAAGCACCGAAGGTTATTGACTGGTATTTTAAATAAAGGGTATAGAGCAAAGATTCGACATAATCTCTCTGCGCGCTTATATCTCCGCTATCACTCCTTCTTTCTCTGTCTATTTTTGTCTGCACTACCTTTCTTTTCCTCCTCCCCACACTCTCTAAGCCAAGATAATAAACCAATTTCTTTTTTCAGCCTTTGTCTTCATCCTTCCCGCCTAGGAATGATTCCTCTCCGTTCCTCCTTCTTTGTCTCTCATTCCGACTGTCTGTTTTCTTCTGTCTGTTTATCTGTCTTAAACCCACTTAGCTGCAGTTTCCGAAGTCACACCCAGATATATGTGGTAGGCCTCTTATTGCTGCCATCGCGCTCTCTCTTTTCTGTCCCCTCTCCCTCCTTAATACCTTTCTCATCCCTGCCTCCCTCAGGGCGTCATCTTCAGCCTCCCTCTGTTTCTCCCTCGATCCCTCCATCCTCAGTAAAGCCTGGGCTGACGTCACCGTTCTGTCTGAGCCAGTAGTCTGAGTCAGATCCAAAAAAGACTCCCTTATGTCCCCGGTATACCTCCATCTCCCTCTCTCTTTTTTTCTCTGTTACTCTCATTTCCCTCTCTGCCAACATGTTTATCCAGCAGCCTAACAAAACATAAAGACATCAGCAAAAAAAAAAAAAAAGAAAAAAAAATCATAATTCACATCCTTTCTGCATTGTGACCCATGATTAATGAAAATGCAGAACATGCACACACACACACACCCCCACACACCTTTGCAACCTATTCTTTCAAACACCAAAATGGCTCAATATTTTTCCCGTGTGTTTTTCTTGGTGTTGGCAGAAAAGCTCCCATTTTTTTTTTTTTTTTTTTTTTAATTAGCATGACCACATCAAAACGAGGCAGTGGCCTGGATACCGCCTTGCCCGCTGGCTTTCTTCCTTGCAACATGCAACACACACACAAACGCACGCAAACAAACTATTCACTAACAAAGCCGAGCTGTGGCAGGCAGGGAAAGAAAAAGCTGCGATGCTGCAGTGGGTGCTGCTGTTGTTATTGTCTCTGATGTTTTTCACTTTGTTTGGCAGACCTCCCTTCACTCCATCTCTGTCTCTCTGTCTCCAGCCCTCATATAAACATAACTGACTGACTGATGATTTGATGAGGCTGACGCTGGCTGGCGGAGCGTCTGTGTGGGTATGTTTATGCATATGTGTGAGCACATGCATGTGTCTGCGAGCATATGTAAAATGGGCTAAACATTTGAGTGTGTTTGTGTGTGTGCACGCGCGGCTGTCTGCGTGTGTGTGTATGTGCTCGAATGCAGATGTGTTGAAGAACTATATAATTACAGAACAAGTGAGAGTCGGGAACTAATCCTCGCGAGTTGAAAGAGGTGTCTGAGAGTGACTGACGCACAAAGCCTCAGCAAAGTCCTCTGGAATCAACATACGAATATAGTCGCACCACTCCAGAGCACTCTCTGAGTCATCTACAACACTGTGTGAACATGCCTAATGCATACAAACTTTTTGGAAATGATGTCTTAACATCATGACCGCACATAGAACTGCAGCAGATTGTGATCTGTAGAAATGTGAAAAACATACAAACATCCCAGAACAGAATCGCACCATTGCATTAACTGACCACCATTTGAGTCTCTAAATGTTGGGTGTCTAAATTTATCCACTATTTAATGGCCTCAAAAATTCCACAAAAAAGTAGTATGTGTGGCATAAACACTACTTTCTGCCACATGTTACAGATGCCAAAATGACAATTGTGCAACTAAACAGTGAAAATACAAAATAACACCTGTACACTAGTGTCTGAAATCTCCATTGACTCATCACTATTGAGTGAGATATTGAGCCCGCCTTACAATATTGAGCAGAAGTGAGTACACGCCTGTGAAATATCACTTAAATTTTCAGCCTCAAAGCTGAACAGTTCTTATCTAAAACCAAAAACCAATCGTTTAAATTTACTATATCAAAATTACAATCCTCCTCAGCATGGAGTAAAATAGTGTTCTTCTGCCATTCTTAATAAACAAATTATATTGAGCTCTTTGCTAGACTGTTTTGTTGTTGTTGTTGTTGTTGTTGTTGTTGTTGTTGTTGTTGTTGTTGTTCTACCATTATCTTTAAAATACCGAAAACATGGTATTGAATTTAAGTCAGGCAACATACTCGGCCACATCATAGTTTTCCCTTTTATCTTCTTTAGTAGTTCTCTTTATCATGCTGGAATATTCCTCTTCGTCCAAGCTTTTGGAGACTGGGAGTCATCTTGCCAGAGAGTATTTCTGGTATATCCACAGGAATTCATGGTGCCATATGTAAATGTCATCTTCTCAGCAACATATCATTACATTCCCAACTGTGTTCCACTGTCGGGGCTATGCATTCACTGTGGTAAACCTAGCCAGGATCACACCAAGCATGCTTAAAACCCCTCCAACCTGGTCGCATCTGACCAAAGAATGTGTTTCAGTTATTCATCAGGCTTCTTTTGATGTTCAGCAAAATTTGTTCCAGGATTTTTTAGCAAAGTTTTATTTGCAGTTTAGCATCCATAGAGGGTGATGGTATGCAATGTGC